AGAAATTGGAAGAAGCGATCCAGTCTTTGACAGAGCAATTAGAGGAGATGTTCAACCAATTCTCCAACTGGTTGGACGTCTTGGTGGCTACTCTAACACGACAAAGAAGAGATCATTCAGCGAACAATTTTAATTCTAAATCAGCAGGTTCCATAGCCCCAACCAATCATGGCAAGAACAGAAATGACACTAATCCAGTTTGGCTATTGGCTTTTGAAGAAATTTCTGATTGACAATTGATGGGCCTTTGTTTTCACTCCAACAAAGTTTTTGCTCCTAGTAATTGTTGCAAGAAGTTATTTTCAATCAAGGCGGTGATGGACGAAAGTGATGGAGAAGCAAATATTGAAGATGATTTAATTACATGATGTTGAACTTACTCTTGAGGACAAGAGTTATTATTAGGGAAACAGAATGTTACGATTTATTATTTTCTGAATTGTTGGGTTGTATAAGTAGTGAGTAGTTATTTGAATTTTAACTTTCCTAAAGAACATGCCATAACTATTAGTGGAGCCTACCAAGTGTTAGTGGATAGTTATTTTTAAGGTTGTCTTGTATTATCTATTTAAATGTTGAAGTATTTGAATAAAGATCATCAAATCAGAAAATTATCCAAGAGCACTGTGTGAAAGAGGTCAGGCTTCCTCAGTAAAGCCATTTGAGGTCAGGCTTCCTCAATTAAGCCAAATTCCCTTTTTTATTTATTCTTTTCATAAAAATTGATAAGAATCTTGGGATGCACCACCCCAAAAGCTAGCTCAAAGGTGGGAGAACATAATGCCTCATAAACCCCACATTAGCCCATACAACCAATGTGGACTTCAAGTCCCATACCTTGCAAATAGGTTCGTAACATTCCACCATGCTTTGCAGCCCCAGCGCCCATGCGAGCCAGCTTTGCACTAGTCTTTTACTAGCCCCGACATCACTACCTGCACCGTTCCATTGCAACCGGGAGACATAGTGGAAGACTCTGATATCATTTGATAAGAATCTTAGGATGCACCACCCAAAAGCTAGCTCAAAGAGTGAGAGTGCTCAAGGCCTTATAAACCTCACATTAATTGCCCATACAACCAATATGAAACTTTAAGTCCCACATCTTGTAAATGGGAACGTAACACTAAACAAGTTGATCAATGAGTTTTGGCGGTGGTGGATGAGATGTTGCAAGGTGTAGCTCTTGGAGGGTATGTGGCGACATGCAAAGAAGCGGAAAGGGAATTCACTTGACATATTTGCATGACTTGGGAATGATTGGGACACATGGCTGACATGCATGTGGTGAGGTGGAAATAAATTGCCACGTATCATAAGCAAGGGTTGACGTGGCATTTTCTACACACACTAAAACCCTAATTGTTTTTAAGTTTAAATTCGGGATTTAGGATTTGCATGGGGAAAGTTGAGGGTTCACAATATAGTGGGTTGTCAAAATCCAATTTTTATTTCACTAACCAGTCTCTGCATTAAAGTCACTAATGAGGGCAAAGCTAAATCTGTTGGAATTGTTGTGTGGAATTTTACATGTGATAAATAAGAAGTTGGTGGGAAATATTAAGAGGTAAGGGAATAAGAAGGAATGTGGAACAAGGGAGTTTCTCTCGGACAAAGTGGTGTAGGAGGCTTTATAAAGCCTAACCTTGCTATCTCGAAGCCAATTGAATGCTTTGAATTAATAAGGGTGTTTCTTTTTTTAAAATATCGATGACAAGATGCAGATTAATAGCCGTAAAAATAATGTTATTAAATCTGAATCGGTGATCGACCCGGTCAGGTACCAGGTCAATGGGTCACTTGATCCGCATAATCCGAGTAGATGTATATAAATATATTTTTTATACTCAAAATTTCTTCATAGTAATTTTTATGTTGTTTTGCAAAATCCATAATTAAGTCTAGATGGAGAAATTTAATAAATATACATTAACATCATACACATATTAAAAGTAAAACATTAATATATTTATGTATGTAACAATTATATTTTAAAAAATTAATAAATAAATTTTATAATATAAAAAAGGATAAAAACTTAAACAAAATAAAGAAAGGGGTTTATGTATGTAACCATTATATTTTAAAAAATTAATAAATAAATTTTATAATATAAAAAAAGATAAAAACTTAAACAAAATAAAGAAAGGGGTTTATATCCGTCCTATTACATGATTGATTTTGAGATTCCTACGCATACAATTTTTATAACACGTTTTTCAATGGGTCAGTAGGATTGAGTTTTATATTTCATGCAACATAATAATTGCATTTCCCATAAAGAAAAGAAATTTATGCATATGATCTATAAAAAAAAGTGCAATTGGGTTGGGTTATATAGCCCATTGTAAAAGGGAAGTGTTAAAACATACCCTAAAATAAAGTTATCACATTTGACACTTCCCAATCTTCTTCGCCGCCAGTTGTCTTCTACCTTCTCTTCTCTGTATCTGTTCGTGAAAACCAGCCATTTTATTTAAATTTTTTTTTTTTGCTGCATTTGGTTTTAACCATGGGTATTTCGTAACGATGTTGTTGCAGAACCATGTGTCGGGGCATTAGGTGAAGCATGATGGTGAGTGGGTGGATCTGGTTTGTTGGAAAACCATCTCCGTCTCTGCACATGGGGTAGAGTTACATCTCCAATTTACATGTTGGTCTGCAGATAAAACAATGAACTGATGCAGTTTTTTATTTTTTATTTTTTTTTAAGAAAAACTTCATGAAACGACATATTGTTTTCACCCGCGGGGTCATCGATTTTTTCAAAAACAGGCCGATTCATTTCGGTTCTTATGGATGAACGATCTACCGAACGACCCGAATCGGTTGCTTAACCGGTTCACCAGTTAACCCGGTTCGAGCAGCTTTTCACAACGCTGCTTAAAAGTGACATCATTGCTTTGAAATATTATAATTAACAAGTCAAGAAAGTCTAAATAATACAAGAAGGCAACACATTTGGAGAAGAGTCACAATAAAATAGTTAAATCCTCCACAAATCCTCAACATGGGAGGCTCTAGGTTCATCCGCCCCTAGCTCATTCTTTCATATCCAGTTTCTAGCTAAATATATTAAAAGGTTTATGCTAAGCTAGATGATTATCATGAAGGTTCACGACTATATTAAAAGGTTCATGACTATATTAAAAGGTTCACGATGCTCATCTATTAGAAGGTTCATGCCTATATTCTCGATTTAAAATGTGTTTCAAACTCTGGTGCTGACGTGCTGTGATATGTTTTGCGGGCTAGTTATTTACCTACGAGCATTTCTAAACAAATTGCTAGATTAATACTCTATACAACTGAATTTCACATTATTGATTGGAGCAAGGTGAAGTACGGGTTTAGTGTGTTATCCTACAACCCAAAATTATATATATGGGAAAAATGTATGTCCTTTTAAATGACACAACTTTGTCATTTCACTTTCACAAAGAAGTGAGACTCACACCTTTTTTTATCCACTCTCTCTCCTCCATGATCTATCTCTTTCTTTTACTTAAAATAACATAATTCTACCTCCTTTAAAATGACACACACTTTATATATATATATATATATATATATATATATATATATATATATATATGTTATATTATATGAGAGAAACAAATTTCTTACACACACGAAAGAGGGGTGTGTCTCATTTTTTTTTTTTTTCTCTCCTCTTACTTTGGATCTCTCTTGTAATTTTATTTCTACTACATGAGATAACTCTTTTCATACAATATAAGAAAATTATCCACACACACAGGTACGATTTTTTTGCAATTTGCAACCGCTTTACGTGCAACAGTGACAAATTTTTCTTGTATATAGGTTAAAACATTTAATATAGGAAATCATAACCATACACCTGTAATTGCTTCCCGTACAATAATTTTAGATATGATTATATATATATAGAATAGGATCCTTTGATACCGATGTTAAACTAAGATATTTGACACCATATCCTAACCGTTAATTTCGTAAATCTAAGAGTTATAATTTATTAGGTTACACGTATTAATTAATTACCAATTAATTATCAACTATTAGATTGACAAAGATTAACGAGGTTTGATATCAAACTGGTAACAAATGATATATATAATATTACATTTAAATATATATAGTCACACATGTAATTGATTGCATATTCTAAGTGTATTGTCGAACAATTATTATAAAGCATCAATCAATGCTGTGTGATGTACTGCCTGGTGAATTCAATGGGAGGGAGCTCATTTTGTGTACAATGGGACTAACTACTCCTTTGTGAAAAATGAAAAGAATTATATGGGAGAAAATAAACATAAAAACAAGTTAATGTAAAAGTGTTACTTTTTATCATATTTAATAGCATAAAAAATATTTTCATTCTTTTTGAAAAAATTAGCCTCACCATGATATGAATATTTTCATCTCGAACAAAATTTTCTTCTATGGAGAATATATGTGCTTTATAAAAATAAAAATAAAAATATTTTCATCCAATGGAATATTGTCATGTAGCATCGAAAGCAAATGGAATTGGAAGTTTTGTACTTTAAGGCCTCTAATAATATGCAAAACTTTGGGAGGTTTCATAAGATATGCGTCCTAACAAATATGAAAGCATACTGCACCAATCTTGTTCCCATTTCCCATCACCATATAATATATTATAATTAGTTATTTACTCATTAGTGGTGTAAAAAAATGGTAGAAATATAGTGAAAACGTTTTTGTCCTTGAACCTAAGTTATGCCATCTCATTCCTTATAATTATGTATTCTAGAAAATATATAATTATAATATTAAAGTTGTACTTTTTTCACTTTAAGAGAGAGAGAAAGAATATAATTTTAATATTATAACTATGTATTTTCTAGACTACATAGTTATAAGGTGATAAAATGATATAACTTAAATCCTTTAAAATGACAAATTATTTTCCCATAAATGTATCATTTTCATTTGACAAGTAATTAGCAACCAAGAAAAATCTTAATTACTAGAGTAACTCCCATCAATAATACAATACTACTAAAACACTATTGAAAGACTAATATAGAGTAACTGATACTGCAGAGCCCCAGTAAAAATTAAAGTAACAACATATTACAGTTTTCTCAGGAAATATCATGAGGGTTCTTCTGCTTATTAAAATTCTAAAACTGAAATAAATTTATTGGTTGATGAACAACACATTGTTGCTGAAAAGAAACCAGAACGTGTAAGCCCTAGGCCCTATAGCTACCTATGCTTTTGACTTGCGCTTGAGAAGAGCATACAACATGACTATTTTTAGCTTCTTTGAATTCATGATATCTGGAAATTCCTTAACTTTCTCAGCGTAGCGATCAAAAAGCTCATCAATAATTCCTCCACCAAAATGCTTCTTAATTAACTCTTCCAGCGCTGCTCTGTACGTGGAAACAAAAATATGTGCACTTGGGAATGCAAAAATATCTTTGATATCTAATGTTTCCATACACTCTATACTGAAACTACCATTTGCTTCAAGAATTTCCTTCACATTCTTAACATGTGAGTAAAAGAAAGGCACATTGAAAGAGTCCACTTTTTCTTCACTAATCAGTCCCTGCAATTTAAAGCCAGCTATAAGGGTTAAGTAGAATAATCCAAATTCCAGATTTGGTAATCATTGAATATCTTTGTGGTTATACATGCTAATTCCAAAGCAAAAGCCTATTTAATCCAAATTTCTTGATTAATGGGGAACAAGAAATAAAATCAAATGCAAAAATAGAAAAAGTCATTCATTAATTAGTTTCATTCATAACCTATTTAAGAAAGAAAAAGCCAATAGGTTTCTTACCCCTTTGGTCATGTCCACCAGGCAAGATCCCAAAAGTTCAAAAGCTCTATTAGGGTCTACTTCTGAATCAAGAACCACGTCTGGTGCTACAGGAATTTGAAGTATCATTAGTCCATTTTCCACAAGTTCTTGTGCTCTAGCATGGAGGAAATTTTCCAAGTCCATTTTATACTGGGTTGCGTAGGCTTCTGCAACCTCCTTGGGGACATTTGTACAATGAATCCTCCCTTTGTTCCATGCACTTGAATTTCTGTCTGTAATTTCTTTGGGCACTGTAGAGAGCCAACATAGAGATGAAGAAGAATGGACCAAATGAAGTGTTTCCTTTGGAAATAAGCGTCCACGAAAAGAGCCAGGTACACCAGCTGCAAAATACTTCCTATTCGGTGGAAGATTTTTGAAGAGCGTGTTGAAGTCATTTGTGACATGGTCATTAAAGAAAACTTGGAGTTTTGAACTTTGAGTAGCAAGACCATGTGATTGGAATTGGTGCTCTATTGCATCTATTATAATTTGCATGGCAAGAAATGTATTTGGTCCTGTAGAGCAACCCATGTCTGCTATACAAATTGAGCTTGTGTGTTCAGCATAGGCTCCGAGATCAAAGCATTTGGTTATTGCCTCATCGATCAACTTTTTACGAACTTCAATTATAGCTCTCTGCAAAAACCATTACATAGCTATAACTGTATACAATTTAGCAAATTGATGCATAGCCAAATGACAATAAAGCATATGAGTGCATGCCATTTTGTCACCATCTTTATCCATGCTTAAAGTTACTGGTGAGAGAAGAATAAGATGAACATGAAGCGAGGTGTTATTAGCATATATAATAGCCAATTAATATACCTGAAAGTTGGAGTTTTGAGCATAGCTGTGAGAACCCTCTCCTCCTTTCATTGCATATGAGTCATTCCCCATCCCTGTTTTGTTTTGATAGGCTGCAGGTCGCTGGTGTTATCTATTATGTCAAAATCGGTTATGATTCAGTTTGCGTATAGAAGCCGAGAAGGCAATGAAAGCATGTGTTTGATCCTTCATAGTATTATTTTTAGGAGATGTAAAGTCTTAATCCTAAACCTACTGCGAACAAAATTGTCTCCCTTGAAAGATTTACGTGGTTTATCAACAACAAAAAAAAAGGTTACGATACGTTAATCAACCCGCGACACAACACGAAAATTCGTGTTCGAGTTTCTTAAAAAAAATTTACGCAGTGTTTATGTCGAAAAAAATAACTCGCCAAAAATTCGTGTTGTGTCATGTGTCAAACTAGTGTCGACTCGTATTTTTATTATTACTTTTTAAATTTTTTTACTTTGACCTATTTTTTTTTCTTTGTCAATTATCATTTTAATCCCTAATTTGAGTGTTTATTCATGTTGTGTCATGTCAACCGATAAAAAATTCATGAGGTGTTCATATTAAAGATTTTGATACGAATAAAAATTCTTATTATGTTCGTGTCACCCTATTTTGACTTTTCCATTTGAAATTTTTTCTACAAAATAGAAATATTTTTAAGGGACATTTGATATAGGAAAAAAAAATTTGTTCACGCGAATATGATTTTCAAAAATATTACCAAAAAAACTGTTTAATATGTGAAAATATTAAGAAGTGGCAAAGTGAAATTCTTTTTGTTGGCTCAAATTTTCTGATTATATACATGTGGAATAATTTTACAAAAGTAACCTTATAGTATTTTCATGTTCTTCAAGCATCTTTCACATGCAGAGCTTCTCGCCAGCCAATTTGGAGAAGCTGATAACATCATCTTGGTAACTTGGTTCCACTCAAAATAAATAAATGAAAAATAATCACATAAATTTCACAACTTTTCGCTCAAATTCTCATACCCAACTCGAAATTTCGCCACCCCTTTTCCTATTTCCGATGGTTCATTCCAGAAAGCAATGAAATCGAAGAACCCAATTGAGAATTTACCTGGAAAATGCCACCTTTTTTTTCTTCGTGTTTGAAAGGGATAAGCTTGAAGGGTGAGAAGAAACGAATGTTTTTGGTTTGGTGGTTGCGCCAATCAACAAAATCTCCAAAAACGAACTCCAGAAGGGCATTTGGCAAATCTAGGAATGTCGCGGGTTTCCACTACTGACACAAACCTCCTCAGACTCAGAGAGAGAAACAAAAAGAAGGGAGACAGAGAAAGAAAGATAACAAAAACCAAACAGCAAACACCAAACAATTTAGGAAAATTGCTGTTGTAGTGAATTGTTCTGTTTTTTCTGCTCTCTTCTTTGCAAAACCAAACGCTCCTATGTGTAGCATAACAGCCCAACCATCGATTTTGTGAAGTGATATGTCACGGATAGGGTTAACAAGGGAGGGTTAAAATAGTCATAAAAAGCGTGTGATATTTTTTCATTGGGTAGAAATCCAATAATAATATTAGGGTAGGGGTGTTCGCGGTTTAGATTGAATCAGTTTTGGAAGCAAAAAATATTCAAGCCAATCCCTTCGGTTTGATCATATAATTATTCATTCGGCTTGAATTTTTTTCAAATCCGATCCGATCCAATCCAATCCAATTTTTTTACGTTTGAATTTGATCGGTTTTTGATTTTTTGAAAATCCTAAAATTTATTTCATGATTATTGTGCAAATAACATCTTTTGTATATATTGGCTTTTTAAATTATTATTTTTGAAATACAAAAGCATTAGTAAACTATAATATAAATTTTTTTCGGGCAATAAGATATGAAGCTCTATAAAGATAAAAATTTGTTGATGATATGTGACTAGATTTTTCTTGGGTTTAGTTGATGGTTAATGGTTCTTGGATTTATAAATTTGACTATGATTATGGAAAGACCCAAGTAGGTAAAAATAAATAATATATTGGATCGGTTTGGATTGGATCGGTTTTCATCAACCCATCTAAAAATCGATCCAATTCAATTAAAATTTGCGATTTTTTTCGGTTTTTGATTTTTTGATTTTCAGTTTATTCGGTTATCGATTTTTTGGTTCGGTCACCGCGATTTGAATCGATTGACGAACTCCCCTAAATAACCTAAATAATATCAATCTGTGATATTTTTGAAAGGGATTTTTCTTCACAAATTCAGTTAACGAGAATCTCATATTTCCAAGAAATTTTTTTAAATCTTTATATTAAACGTGGATAATTCGGATTCATAATGAGTTTTCTAAAATTTTAAAATTTATTCATCTATCAAACACCCTCTTATTTATTAAATGTATTTCAAGTGTTAGATATCGAGACTTCTCTAAGTATTCACAACTCAAAATTATTGTTATGTAAGTTGTGTATTTAATGATTTAAATCAAGTTTAATTGGTATACAAAAGTTATAAATGGATGATGATCCATGTTTTGAAATGGTGGTTGTATATATGAACCATATCTGCATTTTCTTGTTCTTTACCTATAGCCAGTATCCAGAGGTTCGTGAATCCTGGCACAACCTATATAGACACCCATACATGGTTAAATTCTCATTAATACATTATTACATATAATTTTCATTAATAATTAATTTGTTATTAGTATTGATTGAAAATTATTAACATAGTAATTAATAATATTATTAATATATTAATATTAATATTTTAATTGAAGTGAAGGAGTGGGGAGAAGTGAGTAATTTAGAATTAAGAGAAGATGCCAACTTTTTATTTAATTTTAACGAAAAAATTAAAAAAAAATAAAATAATCTTAGTGGTGAAAGTCGCCATGCTACCCACTCAATTTATTTTGGGGAATGAATTTTATTATGTAGTAGTTAACGTGATAATATAATATTATTATATGGGAGAATCTTAATTATATTAGAATAAATTAATAGTGATGATTTTGTGATTACTTATTTCAAAGAATTTTCTCTTTTCTTCGTCATCATTTATTCATCTTTGTATAATTATATTTTCAACATAATATAATCATGCTAAGGATTTGATGTTTGTCATTTTAAATGACATAAGTTATATCGTTTTAAGAGAGAAATAGACACAGAAAATGAAAATTATGGGAGAGAGAAAGTGAGTGGTTTTTTTTTTAATTTAAATTTTGAATCAAAAAATTTATCTTGTGTCTATCTCTCTCCTAAAATGATATAGTTTCATGTTATTTTAAAATGATAAACACTTTTTCTATCATGCTAAATAACATATGAGATAATCTACTTACTCTATTTTGCTAAAAAAAAATTCTAATTTAACTGTCAAACACGACATGAAAATAATATAATTTTCGAATCCGAAATTAGTCCAATTTGCCGGCACAGTCATTGATGCCTTATTATGGAGTTGCACAGGTTTTGTATATATAGAGGATTTGACTTTTTTATTTATTTAGAGTATTTATGGAGGATTTAACTACTCTAACTAGTTGTTTTAAGGATAATGTATTTTTTATGTTACAGGACAGGAATTTTGTCTTCTAACACGATCTACATGCGAGCCTCATATGATTGTTGTAGATTTCACATATTTTTTTGTGGGATCCATATGTGATTTGTATCGGTTAGAGAAATAATTTCTCTTCTATGACATAAAAAAATAGAGTTATATTTATAAAAAAAAATATTTACAAATTACACTATCTACTCCTTTGAATACAAATATTTAAATATATATTCCTCGAATTATATAATATAATTTATAAAAGTTTGTAAACAAAAAAATTGTAAATATAAACTACCCGACATAAAAAACATAATACCCTTGTTTTAAATTACAAAATTGCACATGGAGATCCCTTTGATCGAAAAACTGATGAAGTGATCATGTCTTTCATCCGATCAGCCCATAAAATCACGAGTGCATAACAAGTGATAAATCAGCTCAACCAATATCAAATTGACAAAAATTGATGAATTAACTCAACCAATTTACCAAAAAATTAATGTAAAGTTATAAGGATTTAAGTACAAATAAAGGGAATTAGTTTGTGTTGTTAGTCTTTATCCATCAGTTTACCAAAAAAAAAGTGCAAATAAAAAAAAATTAGTCTCCAACTGTTGAAGAATGAATTTTTCTCTTGCGCTCAACATCCATCTTTTTTATTTTAACTGTTCGATAGAAAAAGTCTCTCCTTTTACGGGATATAAATCCCATAAATAAGACATAGATAACTTGTTCTTCTTTTTCATTTTATACATGTTGTGTATTTGATATTTTACTTATTATTTTATGTAAAGTTAGCGAATATGATCACTATCGAACTTTTATGTATATTCTAAAGGACCTCCTATAGTCTACAAGATTATGCTTGAATGGTTTTGATGATGTCAAAGCATGAAGAGCTCAATTTGAAGATGCTAAAGTTTTGGGTTAGACAATTTTTAGATTCTTTGTAACACATAAGATATATCACTAAGCATGACTTCAAGCTCCAATGCATTTCATTCATCAAATTATTTTTGCATCTGATTTTGATAATTTGATTGCATTTTATGCTAATGTGAAGTTGAAATCATGAGAAGTGTTTATATTGAGGTACAAGCAATGAATTTGTTTTAAAGAAAGTATGATTTAAAAGGTTGAAAATTTTGAATGTTTGTGAAGTTCTGTTGTCACTCGCTCAAATACTCGTACGTTCGAGTAAAATGGCGAGGTAACAAATTTAACTCGCTCAGATGCTCGTACGTTCGAGAAAAATGGCGAGATAAGTAATCAGCTCGCTCAAGTCATCGTACGATCGAGAAAAATGGCGAGATAAATAATCAGCTCGCTCAAGTCCTCGGACGTTTGAGAAAAATGGCGAGAAGTCACGAAAAATGATTTAAAAGAACGTTTTCAGTTCTCTCAGTTTTCATAACTCGAAAATATATTTCTCTCTCTTCAAAAATCTCTCTCTCTCATCGTTTTTCAGAATTCTTCAAGAGCCAAAAGCCATCTTAGTGAGATTAATATCTTTGAAGCCTTATTGTGTGCAAGATTCATGAGTGTGTGAGATTGTTTAATCATCTTCTTCCAAAATTTCCAAATTTCCATCAACATTTTCATCTTCTTGAACCGTAAATGAAATGTATCAATGTTGATGAGTTTCTTGATCGATTTCTAAATCAAGCTTGGTTGATTTGAAGTGTTGTTCATGTTTCTACAAGATTGAAGGTTTTGAAGCAATTAATTCAAAATTCTTGGAACCAAAAGTTCAAGAACCCTAACTACATTCTCCATTTCTCTTTGCTGAAAACTTGAAAGCTATTGTGGTAATATCTTAAACCTTATTTTGAGCATTCTTTTGGTATACTCTTGATTCTAGATATTGTTGATTTGATTTTCAGTTTTCTTTTTGATATATTGTGAATATTCTGATTTCTCTGTTTTGATTTTAAGTGAATATAATAGAAATCTTGATGTTCTTTATGTAAGATTTGCGTTTCTAATTTTTGTGAAAGATTGATTAAAAAAATATCAAATCTGAATTTGCTTTTACACCTTGTTATACATTGTGTTAATTCAGATTTTTGTTTGAGATTCACTGTTTAAAAGCCTAATCTTGAATTGTTATAGAAATTTTATTGTTGGAATATTAAATCTGAATTTTCTGTTTTAATTGAGATATATTGTGCTTAAAATTCAGATTCCGTGTGGTTTATCATTAAGTGATTTAGCTAGAACTAATTCTGAAATTTTTGTGAAATTTTGAGAGAAATTACAAATCTGTTTTTTCTGGATATAGTGTGATAGTCTCTGTTTAAATCAGAAATTTCAATTGTCCATCATTTAGTACTTGATAGTATAACTTACAAGTTCCTTATTGCTGAAAATTTGAAGTTTGTAATACATATACTTGTGCTCTAAATTTTCTGCATACATTAAACCATTTTGGAGCTTGTTGTTGCGCCTTATTTGATATATCAAGTGTGATAGGACATTGTAATAAGTTGATAAATTTTCTGTTATAAATCTGAGATATTGTATTGTTTGTTTAAAGTGAAGTGCACGTGTGTGTAAATCTGTCCTAGGTGTGAGGGTGCAACTGTGTGGGTTGACGACCTTGTGCTTGGCTTGAGAGTGTGTCTCAAGGCCTGGAGCCTCAAGAATCCACTAGGTAGAGTGGAGGTCTTATGTGAGAGGAGTCGGTGAACTCCGTAGGTTCGACTTGAGAGTATTCTCATAGCTTGAAGCAGTGTAGGCACTATGAAGGTTTTTGATATTTTGTTTGATTGCTTGTGTGACGCGTGTTTGTAAAACAGGTACACTTGTGATAAATAAAATATCTGCAACAACTTCAATTTGGACGTAGCACCCTACTTAGACTTAGTGGGTGTGAACCAGAATATATCGTGTCTCTTGTCTCTTTGATTTAATTTCTGAATATTTTTTTAGAGACTTAAAGTAACACTGATTTCTGGTTTGAAAGTGCTATAGCAGTTTTCTGGTGACATATTAAAAGTGTTATAGGAGAATTAATATTTTCAGTTTTGTTTAAGAAAATTACATTGCTGCGTTTATACTCTATAAATTGCTAAGGTGTGCTTTCAGTTACTATATTGTTCTTAACATTTTGAAAAATTATTTTGGGCATATAGGGACTAAAGAAAAATTGTGTGATTGTTTACTGAATTCAAATAGTAATATAAATTGATAACTGTTAGTCTTATTGTGTTGGTGTTGTGATTGAACTTGTTAGTTCAACTTTGTCTAGACTTTACAAATTTAAGGATCTACTAACAAAATATTTTTGAAAAATTTTAGAACACCTATTCACCTGCCCTCTAGGTGTTCAGTAAGCGTCCTGTGTAAGAAGCCGCTTGTCCAACATATTCTACACTTGGATATTTCACTCAATGTGAACAACGCATAGACTTTCAAGTATTAAATAACATAATGATTAATATTTATTTAATCTATTTCATATGCCATTTGTTGTATGGTTTTTGTTTAATCACATATTTTTTTTATCTTAACTTTTTTTTATTATTTTGTGTTAATTTATTAAATATATTATGTAATATTTATAAAATTTTACCAAATTATAACTAATTCAACTCCAATCAAATCAATAGTTTATAAAAGAGTATCTTGTTGATTTAATGTCTGGTCCCATTTATTGATACTGCCTCTGCTCGGAACAGTGCCAAAAATGTCACTGTTCCCTAACTTTTTTTTTCTAAATGCAATGCTAACAATGTTAATTTTTAATATGTCACGTGGACAAGTTCCTTGGGCACTGTAACGAACTCAGTTTGCTGATGTGTCACTTTTCTAGTGGACACCAAGTTCGATACCTAAAGTAACGAACTTGCCCACGTGGCATATTGGAAATTAATATTGTTGGCGTGACATTTAGGGAAAAAAGTTGGGGAACAGTGACATTTTGATCACTGTTCCCTCTCACTCCAACGAGTTGGTTGCCATGTCGAAATTTGATTTGTTTCTCTACGTGTGCCTATGTGCATATTTACAAGGGAATTTTAATTACTTGTACCTTTATTTATTTTTTAATCATTTATCCCTCTGTAATTTTGTCATCTACACTCCTCTTTAATATTGTTAAATTAATTAAGTATACCTATTTTACTCTTCTTAAAAGAAAAAATAAAATGATAAAGAAAAAATAAGACCAAATGTTATGAAAACTTAGAACACTTAATAAAATATCAAAATAAAAAAGAGCAAAAAAAATCAAATGTGTTATGTGTCTAAATAAAGTAAATAAATGTATTAAAAATAAAAAAAAATAAGATTAAATCACAACAGTGACAAAAAAGACTAAAATTAAAAAAAAAAGTCTAAATGAAAAAGAAATTAAACACAAAAAAATAGAAGAAAAAAAAGATAAAAATATTTAAAAAATCACAGTTATCAATTTCGAAAATATTTTCTTTTATTTTGTTTCTATTTTTTTCCTTGGTGTATTTATTCTTTTTATTTTGATATGTTTGGCCTTTATATATCTCTATTTTATTCTCTCTCTTTTTAATTTTTTTATGAAAATCTTTAATAGATGGTGTGATATAAGGCTAAACAAAAATAGAGGAGAAAATATTTATTTTATTCTCTCTATTATATTCTAGAGGTGCAATATGGGTTGAGCCCGGCGGGTCAACCCGTCAAAACGGGACGGGTTGGGTTGAGGTTTTCAACCCCCCAACCCACCTCAACCCGCCCCGCCTAGAAGTGGGTCAAAACGGGTTCAACTCGTCGGGTATATATATATATATATATATATATATATATATATATATATATATATATATATATTTTACAATTAGGTAGTATTTCATTAGTCCTTAAATTTTTGTGATATATAATTTTTTTTTTATCTTAGTACTTCTTATAAAAAATAAAGAATAGCAATTTTATTTATGACAAATGTTATCTATATATAAATTTCTAAAGAATGTTTGACAAATATTAATATACATTTAAGATTGAGACTAAAAAAATACAGAGAAGTGTGAAATAAAAAAAAAATATTAAAAAAATTCATAAAATATAATTTATTTTTAAATTTTAATTAATTTTTTTTAATTGACGGGTTGGTGAGTTGACCCGTCAACCCACCATAAAACAGGGTGGGTTCATTTTTCCAACCCATATTTTTTGGCAAGTCAACCCGCCCTGCCCCGTTTTTGGCGGGTTGGTGGCGGGGCGAGGCGGGTCAACCCAAATTGCCACCCCTATTATATTCTACCCTTCTAGTTTTTTTTGTCTTCACTATATATTTTTTCTTTTGGACTATTTTTATTTTTATTTTTTAAATTTTAGTCTTTTCTATCACTGTTGTGATTTTTAATATATTTGATCTTGTTTTTTCTTCTATTTTTTTCTTATTCTATTTTCTTTTTTTATTTTGAAACATTTGATTTTTTTTTACTATTTTTTATCACTTTATTTTTTCTTCTTAAAAGGATAAAATAGTTATACTTAATTAATTTTCTAACAGTATTTAAGGAGGGGTATGGATAAAAAATCACATGGGGTTAAGTGATTCAAAGTAGGAAAAAAGGTCTGTCATTTTAAATGACACACCTTACATCATTTCACTCTCACAAAGAGGTGGGACCCACGTTTTTAAAAAAAAATTCCCGCACTCTTTCTTTCATGATTTATCTATTTCTCTCACTTAAAATAACATAACTTTATATCTTTTAAAATGATACATATTTTTTCCTTCAGAGTAATACCACCGGGGTTTTTTGAATTTTTCCCTATTTACAATTTATTAATGAAATAACCATCCTACCTAAGTCATTTAAAAAGTTATATGATTCAAAATTATTCCTCTCACATCTTCTTGCTATTTTTTATTTTAGGAATATTAAAAAAAAATTATTTTAAATGAATGACAAATAAAAAAAATTGCGTATTAACTACCTATCAGTCCTGTAATATCAGTATATATAAGTATTTTAAAATATACATTGTAAAATATTTTGCACTTTTATAAAATGAATATAAATGCCAATTTAGCTATACATAATATTTAAATTTATATATTTTATTTAAATACCAAAATAATTAAACCTCAATCCTGTCCTTAGTCATGCTATAATATTGGAGTCATGTTGAATTGTTGATGCGCAGAGAATTCCAGTCAAATTAAATTCGACTTAACCGGTTTGATGCTTGCACAGGATCAAAATCATTCCTTTAGTTCTTTAGTTAAGAAATATTATTTGATTAAATAAATCGAATATTTAATTTTTAAAATAATAATAATTATGTTATTTATAACAATTTTTATTTGTAACATTAATTAATATTTCTGTGAAATGAAAAGATAAAAAAAATAATATAATGAAATTTAGGATGTACAGCAAAAATCAGTGAAACTTGTTATGTACCAATATCGTTAATGGACCGAGCAAGTTTCAACCTGTTTTGCCCCACTTTCTGCACCCTTTATTGATGATTCTGCATTTTTCTTCCTCCATGCAACAAAGGTCTTTCCTTTTCCTAAAAGTAATTAAATAAATTTTTTTAACTATATCTTAATTGGGAATAACATCTTTGCCTTTAAAGTAGAGAATTCCTATGTGCCATAGAGAGGAAAACCAAGAGAGAGTAGAAATCAATGAAAGAGAAAAATAGAAATGGTGACCCACTAAAATTTCTCTATGTGGCAGATAGAAATTCTCTGCCTTCAAGGCAGAAATGTTATTCCCATCTTAATTTCAGCTTTTGTACAACAATTTGGATCAACAAAGCCATATACATGATTACATGTATCTACAGTTTAATATATAAAACACAGGCAAATCATTATGAGATTTTAAAGGTTTTTTCATTTTAAACTAACAAACAAATCAATGAAAATAGTTATGACTTTTATTAATCTTTTGAGCAGAGTTATATTTATAAATTTTTTGTTACAAACTCTTATAAACTAACTATGTATTCCGGAGAATACAAACACTTAAGTGTGTACTACTCGAAATACATAATTTAGTTTGTAAAAATTTGTAAATATAACATATCTTATCTTTTACCTTCTTGTTTCATGACCTTATAGCCAAACAGGCTCTGGTATCATATTAAAGAACTATTTTAACTCAAAAATTTAAATTGTTAGGAGATGTTTTTTAATGATATCTCACTAAAGTGAATTTCTTTGGACAATAACTGATAATTGGATTTATGTTGAAGCAATTTAGGACCTAGTACATTTGTATGTTTGTCTAATTATCATCGTCTCGCGACAACACAAAGCGTAACCCTCTTATAGCGCAGATCTGTGAAGAATCTCTTTGTGCTTGAACACTCTTCACGAATTGATCTCCTCTGTGTCACAGCACGAATAAATCTCTTTGCGTATCTGGCAAACCTTTTAGACTGTCCTTAAGGGGGAAGGAGGAGTGTATTTGCACTCTTTCTTTCAGATATAGACTTACCTCAGCAACAACACCAAAAAGGTTGATGACTAAAAGTGAAGAATATATATGGGTACCAAAAAATCCTTACTCTAAGCTGCTTAGACTCTAGATTTCTTAAGCTCTACTCATAACCCGACTTTAAGTGAAAAGAGATACAAATGAGGGAAAAACAAAATCTGTTGGAATTCTTATGTAGAATGCTACATGCAATCAATAAGAAGTTGGTTGGAAATATAAAGAGGAAAGGAGATATGAAGGGATGTGTAAGGGAGTTTCACCCGGGACAATGTGAGTGGTACAGGAGGTTTTGTTAGAGCCTAGCCTCGGTAACTCGGAGCCAATTGAATGCTTTGCAATTGATAAGGGTGTTTCCTGTTTTAAAATACCAATGACAAGTTACTGATTAATATTAAGAACCTTGGGATACACCACTCCAAAAGCTAGCTCAAAAGGTGGGAGTGCCCAAGTCCTTATAAACTCCATATTAGTTGCTCATACAACCAATGTGAGACTATATATCTCAACACGTCCCCTCACGCAAGAGCCCTTTAGGCTAGAAAAGAACCAATGTGGCTCAAAAGGTGAGAGTGCCCAAGGCCTTATAAAGGCGACATTAGATGCTCATACAACCAATGTGAGACTATATATCTCAACACGCTCCCTCAAGCAAGTGGGGGCGGTGAGGATCGAACTTGTGACCTTGTAGTCACTCAAGCTCTGATACCATGTTAAAAATCTTAGGATACACCACCCAAAAGCTAGCTCAGAGGGTGGGAGTGTTCAAGTCCTTATAAACTCCACATTAGTTGCTCACAACCAATGTGGGACTATATATCTCAACAATTAATAGCCTTAAAAGTGAACCTCATCGCTTTGAAATATTATAACACAAGAAAGTCTAAATAATACAAGAAGGCAACACATTTGGAGAAGAGTCACAATAAAATAGTTAAATCCTCCACAAATACTCAACATGGGAGGCTCTAGGGTCATCCTCTCCTAGCTCATTCTTCCATATCCGGTTTCTAGATAAATCTATTAAAAGGTTGATGCTGATCTAGATGGTTTTCATGGAGGTTCATGACTATATTAAAAGGTTCATGATGCTAATCTATTAGAAGTTTCATGACTATATTCTTGATTTAAAATGTGTTTCAAACTCTGGTGCTAACGTCCTGTGATATGTTTTGCGGGCTTAGTTATTTGCGTATGAGCATTTCTGGAATGCAGGTACTGAAAATGGAGCTGCCACTAAAAATTTTGATTGGAAAAATTAGAAAATCTTTTTTTGTCTTTTGCAAATTAGTCTTTGAGATTGAACAAAGTTTGGGATTCCTCGTGTGAGAAAGGGTGGAGAATAAACCCCACAGCATCCACAATACACCTATCATAAAGCTGTTAATTACCTTAAACTGGTTGCGTGAATTTCATTTTATCCTTTAAATAATGGGGAAAAATATTTATAATTTTATTGCAGAAAAATTTTCTCTGTTATATTCACATAAAAATGAATAAATACTACAATAAAAAGAAGAAAGAGAAAATATTAATGAGACTCCCTCACTTTTACGTTAATGTGACCGAAAAACATTAAACCCATAAATAGTTAATGATAAAAAATAACAAATTAAAAATAAATTCTAATATTTATAAGAAGCTAAGAATGTAACTTTAATATTTAAAAATTACAACAAAACAAATAATTATATGATGATGATTAAATAAAAAAATAATTATTTTTATATTTCATAATGACAAACTAATAATTACATGATGACTACTAATAAAGATCGAAGGAATCGGAACCTTACATCTATAAGATGACACACTGACTATTACATGTATATAATGGAAAACATGAAGGTAAAACAGTAACTAGGGCGTGGGTTCAAACTCTGCTGATCGATATGAGGACTTTTTTTTTTTTTTTTTTTTATAACATGCCGATATGAGGACTTTGTTGGTGGGTGATATGTAATTTCTCCCATAAATTCTCAACCCTAGTGGAATACCGGTGTCTGACCCCACTTAAACTTTTATTTAAAAAAAAACAGCAACTAGGAACAAGACACAAAAATAATATTATAAAACTTGTATCAATAGGAACTAGGAACAAGACAAAAATATTATAAAATTTGTATCAGCATCCGTGAAACACAAAAAACCTTTACGTAACATGCGTTATTAACACCTTAAACTTACAACCCACCATGCATGCACATCGAGACCATGATGCAAGAAGGAAAATGAGTTAGCCAACTTAAATTCAAGCAAAACATCATGTGAATTCCCTGCCTACGTAGAGATAACGCAACATTGAAAATAAAAAAAGCATTTAATTTGTAACTAACGAGGCATTGAATTACTCCATTCCAAAACAATATTTGCAAACAAACAATACCATCTCCGCCCAGCATCAAATTATCAAAATAACATCATGACCGAAACACACACAAGAAAATAATTAAAAAAAATTCATGGTAGCTATCCAAACACAGACGTGAAGTATTGCCCTAGACAATTAAAAATTGTACTTTTCTTTAAACTCACAAGAAGGAGTATTCAAATTCATTTAGAGAATGAGATTAATCAAGATAGGTTACATACAAATTGTGTCAAGAACTAGAAAGAGCTTCAAAGGAGTTTTTAATTTTCTCTACACAGTAAGGTTGCAAGATCGCAAGCTTCTTTCTTCTCCCTTCCTCTTCGCTTGTAGTCTCTTCCTCTATTCTTTAGTGGTCGCTGGCTTTTTTGTCTTAGGTGAACCAGAATAATTGAAAAATGAAATGGTCGGAGAGCAGGTTTTTTTTTTTTTTTTTTGTATAGTATTGTCCTGGTCAAAAAAATAAGTGCTACAATTTCTAAACAAATTGCTAGATTAATGCTGTACACAACTGAATTTCACATTATTGATTGGAACAGGGTGAAGATATACGGGTTTAGTGTTATCCTACAACCCAAAATTATAAATAAAATAAAATAAAATTAGGAATACATGAAAATATAAATGCAAAAAAAGTGTAGAATGGAAAACAAAACTTTCCAAAATTGGAAAAAAGGAGTATCTATGTGTGTACTCGCGCTATCCGATGCATATACATCTTGCTAAAAAAAATTAGGACATACATGGAAATAGAAATACAAAAAAGGTATAGAATGGAAAAAAAAAAAAACTTTCCAAAATTGAAAAAAAGGAGTGTCCATGTGTGGACTGGCGGTGTACGCTAAGTTTTGCTTTCACACATGTAATTGATTGGACGTTCTGCGTGTATTGTCAACAATTATTATAGGGTTGGATTTTTCTTAGGTTGTATTGGATAATTTGTTATCTTATGTAGCACACATAAAAATAGTGAGATTCTCTTTTTTTTTCTTTTTCTTAGGTTGTATGGAATAATTTGTCTCAAACAGCATGAAAAAAATATTTTTTATTATTATAATGCATCAATTCATGCTATGTGATGTATTAATGTCTCATAAATCAATTAGGAGCTCATTTCGGGTACAACGGGAATAACTATTCGTTTGCCAAAATATAAAAATATGAGATTTGGGTGAAAATAAATATAAAGACAATGATAATTTAAAAGTATTAATTTTTATCATATTTAGTAGCACCAAAATTATTTTCATCATCTTTGAAAAAGTTAACCTATTATAATATGAATATTTTTGACTCAAATAAATCGTCTTCTGTGCGAGAAAATTGTGATTTATCCAAAATATATATGAGTTTGGTGTTTATCATTTTAAATGACATAAGTTATGTTATTTTAAGCGAGAGATAGACATAAGGAATAAAAGTGGATAGTTTTTTTAATTTAAATTTTAAATAAAAAATATTTTATTGTGTCTATCTCTATCTTAAAATAATATAACTTTATATCATTTAAAATAACAAATAATTTTCTTAATATATATATATATATATATGAAGTAGGATCTTTTGACACCTCATATGAGAGCCATTAGATAAAAAAAGATCAACGACTCTAATTTGTAAGCATATGACATCATTGATCTTTTTTGATCTAATAGCTCTCATATGAGGTGTCAAATTTTAAATTTGACACTGATATCAAAAGATCCTACCTCTATATATATTCATTCATGTAACATTGTCATGTAGCATCGAAAGCAAGTAGAATTGAAAATATTGTACTTTAAGGCGGTTTCATAATATATGCGTCCTAACAAACATGATGCCATGTGATAAACCTGTCACGTAGCATCGAAAGCAAGTGAAATTGGAAATATTGTACTTTAAGGCGGTTTCATAAGATGCCATGTGATAAACCAGCAACTTAAATATGAAAGCGTACTACACCAACCAATCTTGTTCACATTTCCCATCACCATATAATATATTATCATCAGTTATTTACTTATTAGTGGTGCAAAAAAATGCTATCGATGTATCATTTTCGTTTAACAAGTAATTAGCAACTAAAAAAAATAAAAAAAAATTTGTCCAAAACAAAAAATATGATACTTATTTTAATCCCTTATACAAAAAACTAGTCGTCTGGTTCTTATAAAATTTAAAATGGAACCTTTTTAGTCGTTTTAAGGGACTAATGTGAGTCCTTTCTGAATTTATGAGGAATCACAATTTCAACTAAATGAATGTACTTTGAATTTTTTAGATACATCGAGATTAAATTTTTTTTTTATAAAAAACTAAAATGAAAATCGTATTTTTTATTAACCGACACAAAAAGCACTTTACTCAAAATCCTAATTACTAGAGTAACTGTCATCAATAATGCGATACTACTAGATCTCTATTGAAAGACTAAAATAGAGTAACTGATTTTGCATAGTCCCACTAAAAATTAAAGGAACAACGTCTTATAGTTCTCTCCGGACATATCATGAGTGTTCTTCCGCTTATTAAAATTCTAAAACTGAAATAAGTTTATTGGTTGATGAACAACACATTATTACTGAAAAGAAGCCAGAACGTGTAGGCCCTAGGCCCTAGCTACCTATGCTTTTCACTTGCGCTTGAGAAGAGCATACAACATGACTAATTTTAGCTTCTTTGAATTCATGATATCTGGAAATTCCTTAACTTTCTCAGTGCAGCGATCAAAAAGCTCATCAATAATTCCTCCACCAAAATGCTTCTCAATTAACTCTTCCAGCCCTGCTCTGTACATGGCAACAAAAATATGTGCACTTGGGATTGCAAAAATATCTTTAATATCCAATGTTTCTATCCACTCCATACTGAAACTACCATTTGTCTCTAGAATTGCCTTCACACTCTTAACAGGTGAGTAAATGAGAGGCAGATTGAAAGAGTCCACTTTTTCTTCACTAATCAGTCCCTGCATTAAAGCCAGCCATGAGGTTAAGTAGAATAATCCAAGTTTCAGATTCGGAAAGCATTGGATATCTTTGTGGTCATACATGCTAATTCCAATGCAAAAGCCTATATAATCAAAATTTCTTGATTAATGGGGAACAAGAAAAAAAATCCCATGCAAAAATAGAAAAAGTCATTCATTGATTAGTTTCATTCATAACCTATGTAAGACAGAAAAAGCCAATAGGTTTCTTACCCCTTTGCTCATGTCCACCAGGCAAGATCCCAAAAGTTCAAAAACTCTATTAGGGTCTACTTCTGAATCAAGAACCACGTCTGATGTTACAGGAATTTGAAGTATCATTAGTCCATTTTCCACAAGTTCTTGTTCTCTAGCATGGAGGAAATTTTCCAAGTCCAATTTATATTGGGTTGCATAGGCATCTGCAATCTCCTTGGGAGCATTTGTACAATGAATCCTCCCTTTGTTCCATGCACTAGAAGTTCTGTCTGTAATTTCTTTGGGCACTGTAGAGAGCCAGCATAAAGATGAAGAAGAATGGACCAAATGAAGTGTTTCTTTTGGAAATAAGCGTCCACGAAAAGAGCCAGGCACACCAGCTGCAAAATACTTCCTATTCGGTGGAAGATTTTTGAAGAGCGTGTTGAAGTCATTTGTGACTTGGTCATTAAAGAAAACTTGGAGTTCTAAACTTTGAACAGCAAGACCATGTGATTGGAATTGGTGCTCTATTGCGTCTATTATAATTTGTATTGCAAGAAATGTATTTGGTCCTGTAGAGCAACCCATATCTGCTATACAAATTGAGCTTGTGTGTTCAGCATAGGCTCTGGGATCAAAGCATTTGGCTATTGTCTCCCGTATCAACTTTTTACGAACCTCAATCATATCTCTCTGCAAAAACCATTACATAGCTATAACTGTATACAATTTAGCAAATTGATGCATACAGATGAGTGCATGCCATTTTGTCACCATCTTTATCCATGCTTAAAGTTACTGGTGAGAAGAATAAGATGAACATGAAGCAAGGTGTTATCAGCATATATAATAGCCAATTAATATACCTGAAAGTTGGAGTTTTGAGCATAGCTGTGAGGACCCTCTCCTCCTTTCATTGCATATGATTCGTTCCCCATCTCTATTTTAAAATCCTGGTCGCTGGTGTTATCTACTTTCACATGCTTTTGTAAGTTTCCCTGCAAAATAGAAATACTTTTAAGATTAACAAGAACTTAAAAGAAATTGATTTCAAGTGTTAGATATTGACTATCAAGACTTCTCTATATTTTCACAACTCAAAATTATTGTTATATAAGTTGTGCATTTAATGATTTAAATCAAGTTTAGTTGGTACACAGAAGTTAGAAATGGATGATGATCCATGTTTTGAAATGGTAGTTGTATATGAACCATACCTGCATTTTCTTATTCTTTACCTGTGTTGGGGTGACAATGTATGACACGATCCGGACATTAACACGAATTTTTTGTGTTCCAGTCAATCCATTTTTATTTTTGTGTCGTGTTATTATTGATAAAAAAAATCATATCATATCTAATGTCAATCCGTAACTGATCCGCGATTTTCTAATTACTTATTTATCCATCTTTTTATGAACCAATTTAAAAGTTATTTTTGTAAGAGATTATCATTTCTGCTTTGGCAGAAAAGAAATTTCTACCAATAAAACGTAAAAATTCTCTCTGATTCCTGTCTCCCTCCACTGAATTTTTTTTTTCTACCACTAACATAAATATATAAACCCCATAAAATAAAACAAAACACACTAGAGTTACTATTCTTTTCCTTTGTCAGTTCGTTAGTGCCGCAGAACAGCACAACCAACACTCTTGTCTTCTCTCCTCTATCTCACTATCTTGCAACGCACTTCTCCCTCTCCAAGTTTCCCTCTCGCTACAAATCTTGTTTAGTTGTTTTGTTCCAAAGCAACACATCTTGTTCCAGAGCAGCACATTCCAGTGCTTTCGAAGACACCAAATCTGAGTTGTGTTGCATCCCATCACACTCGACCACCGCCTCCACCATATCCACCACCTCCGTAGCCTCCACCGCCACCGTTCCGGTTGTAGCCACCCTCACGACGACAAGGTTACAAAAAGAAAGAGAGAAAGAGACCCAGATTAAGAAACAAGGAGATAGGATACAAGGAGACAAAAAGATATAAACTTCATAAAAAAAAAGTCACCTGTGCCCGAACAGAAAAAGTGAAAAAGAAGTTTCTTCTATAAATATTCGCATGGGTTGGAGGAACCCAGGTTCTGGGTCTGGAAGATAAGGATGGGAGGGTCTGAAAGTGAGGCTTGATAGAAGACAAACCTTCCATTGAAGCGCGCTTGAAGAAAAAAAGGGAGGGATTGCGCAACAAAAAGGGTAAGACGAAACTGAAACTGAAGTCCAAGAAGATACGTTACTACACACCCAGGCCTATTTGGAAATGTCTATAAAAGGAAAAGAAACGTGGAGGAGAGAACCGTTGTCGGTCGCATTCAAAGACGCATGTCGTGTTAACCAGCAAAATAAACTTTAATAATTGTATTCGGATTGGAAATTTTCACACTAATAATTAATCAGGTCGTATTCGGGGTTGATGTTATTCATGTATTAGACATCAAACCAAACCGCGAATTCCACCCCTAATAATTAGATCTTCGTCAATCCTGACACAATCAATATGGACACCCATAAATGTGATTCATCTAGTCAGATGTAAAATCTAATTTATCAAACAATTGATGATCACATGATTTTTTTCTTTCCCTACACACACCACACAATTAATTGTTTATCATATAACCTTTTTTTTTTTTTTAAAAAAAGTTTATCATATAGCTTTTTTTAAGATACAATGTTATAAGTAAATATCAATTATTAAATTATATATTATTATATTCAAATTATTTATAATTTAGAATTTATAATCATTAAGTTATTATCACATATTGAACAGTTAAATTAATTATATATAGGCAGTATAAATATAAATATTATCAATATAATGTAAAAAACATTAAATTAATTTAAAAAATTTAAATTTTAAAATATTATATTCATTACTTTAAATTAGGCTTACCTATGTATAAAAAAAAGGCTAACTTACATTAAACCACCTTACACTTTAGTGTGTTTTTAAAATACCACCCTACACTTATAATTTAAATAATTAACTCCCTTAAACTATAAGAATGTAATGCAGCAATTAATCATATTTCATAATTTAAAGACAAAAATACCCTTAATTTCAATCTAACACCCAATTTTTTTAATGGTCTCTTCATCGCCAACCATCATCCATCATGTAACAATTCAATATTCGAATTTTACCAATACGCAAGGATGTTGCTTAATTGAAGAAGTGAACCTGGCCAAAGCTTTATATATTGCTTCTCCTTGATCAAATGTCAGCATGTCATTCTGCTTAAGTTATTGATTTGGAGTCTATCGTAATTGAAGTATTGATGTTCTTGAAGTGGAATCCTTAGTATCCCTATACTTTTTGTGAAGATGAATTTCTTCAGTTGAATTCAGCTTTGAAAAATCCAAGAACTTAGGTATCTAAATGAAATCAGTTAGAGGGCTTTCTTGTTGTACATCTTCCATCTATTTGATTCTACTACTGTAACTGCATAGTGTAATGTTATTGTTTGCAATGATCTATCATTCTTTCATAAACATAGCATACATCTGGCGCGTCAATACCTAACGACTGGTTCACCATGTACCTCTTTTATTAAAGCTTTATTTTGTTTATTAGGTTCTAGCCTTGGGCACAATGATGCCCCTTTCGCTAAACTGAGTTCTTAATTCCGATACAAACATCTTCACCTCTTCACAAAATGATATATGCATTCCCTTAAAAATTCTCGATAGACCCAATCCTCCGATTTTACTTAAACAACAAAACAATTTTTTCAGTATTCAAATTTTACCAAAAATATTGCAAACGTTAGGTGGTGTCTGACGACAATGGCTATTGAAGAGAATAGGGATATTTTAGTCTTAAAATTGCTAAGTATGCTTAATTGTTGTAATGTGATAGATGAGGGAGGTTAATTGTCGCAATTAAAAGTGCAGGATGGTTTTTTGAAAACCCATTAATAATAGGGTAGTTTTATGTAATTTTCCCAAAAATAAAATAAAAATAGGCTCAGCTAACATTTGTGTCAAACGCTGGCTGTTTGACACCTAAGGACAAACTAGCTAAAATTTAGTAAAATAGATTTAGTGAAAATTATTTTTCCAAGGGGTAATTAGCGGATCCAGCGATACTATTTTATTTTTATTAATACATTATTGCAAATAATTTTCATTTAATAATTAATTAATTATTAGTATTGATTGAAAATTATTAACATAATAATTGATAATTATTTTAATATATTAATTAATATTTTATTTGAAGTGAAGAAGTGGGGAGAAGTGAGTAATTTACAATAAGAAGAAGAATATTTTTCGTTGTTTTTTTTAAAACAAAAAGTATGGACTAATAGCCATCTTTTTATTTAAATTTGACGAAAAAAATAAAATAAAATAAAATAATATTACGGTGAAAGTCGCGATGCTAACCACCTGGTTAATTAGAAATTCGCATTCAATGATTGTACAAGACGCATCAGACTTTTACGCAGATAAACTACCCACACCTCCACAAAAAAATTTAAATATTATTTTTATAATAAATTTTTTTGAAATCGTTATATTTTTTTAAAGATTTGATGTTTGTCCTTTTAAATGACATAAGTTATGTCATTTTAGGAGAGAGATAGACACAAAAAATGAAATCATGGGAAAAAAAGTGGGTGGGTTTTTTTAATTTAAATTTTAAATAAAAAATAATTTCTTGTGTCTATCTCTCTCTTAAAATGACATAACTTTATGTAATTTAAAATGACAAATAGTTTATTTTTTTAATCTATTTAGGAATCTTTAATAACTAATCAAACCCAAAATTTGAAACCGGTCACGCCACAAAAAATAGGCGCATTGAGAGTTGGATCATGCCCATACTAAGTTGGGACCAGTCACGCTCAAATGACCCTTTTCTCGAATCCTAATTTGTTTTTGGCGTACAAAAAATATTCCAACGCACATAATGATGCTAGGGATTAATACTTTTTATATTATTGAAAATAAATTTATAAAAGATAAAATTATTTTATATACATATGTAAATGTACGTGAGGCCCACATGAAGCATATAAAGAGAAGAGAAAAAAAATATAAGTCATATATATTTTTATATATATATATAAGATAAAATGATCATTTATATATAAGATATAAAATACTAATCCATAGTATTATGCAATAATGTGATTGTGTCCCACCCCATATGTTGTCTCGTTCATCTATCTCCAATGTCATACTTGGTCTTATATGTCTATTATTTTTCAGGAAAATATTTATTATTTTAAATGACATAATTTTATGTCATTTTGGTTGTTTTTGCATTTTCTCTTCCCCACTTTTTTTTTCTTAATTTTATAAAAAAATGTAAAACAATACCAAAAATACACTAAAACGACATAATTTTATTAAAAATGATATAAAATTGTGTCATTTAAAGTGATAAATATTTTTTCCTTTTTTATTTACTTAAATTTTTAACGAGAATTTTTTTTTGTATTAATAAAGCTTAAACATTTAAGTAAATAAAAAAAATGCATTCGGTTTGTGAATTTGTTTTCGTATGACGTTTAGTATCCAATTTTTTTTTCTTTGTTACTACAATCGGTTAAACATATATATATATATATATATATATATATATATATATAGGATATTATTAATATCAATTAATGTTATTATCAATATCATTATTAGTTTGTTTCACCATTAGATCGACAATATTGATCTAACAGTTCTGATTTAATTTTTTAAAAATCTTCTTTCTTCTCCCTACATAATATTTTATATTTATTTTTACTTTTGTATAGTTATGATTCCTCATATTTAATATAAAAACATTAAATATGAAGAATTATAACCATACAAAGATAGAAATAAATGTAACTATTAAATTAACATAAACAATCTAACGGTGAAACAAACTGGTAATAACATTGATAATAACATTATCCTATATATATATATACTATTTGCTTCTTCTTTTTAAAAAGTCCTTATCTGTTTTTGTCAATATAAAAAATATATTTACTTTTTTATTTCCTTCATTTTTATTTTCGGTAAACTTTCTTCACGTTCACTTTATTCGTTCTTGTAATTTTTTTAATTTAAATATCATTTTTATTTTATTCTTATAAATATTTTGGTTTAAATTTTTATTTCACTTTAAAATCATGTGATTATTATTATTATTTTATAATTATTTGTATTAGTTCTTTAGTTTTTAGTATAGGTCAGAATTTAACTTTTATTTATTAGTTTTTATCTGTTTGTCTTTTTCTTTTTTCTTTTTGCATATCGCGCTATCGCGCCAGAGGGAATAATAGCATGTGTACGCTTCCTCTCTTATTAGGTACTGTAACGCACTGTTTATATAACATGAATAATAGACATAAATAAACTAAAGGTTAATTTTTTTCTTATTTTACATGAGAAAAATTTTTCATGTTACACACAATTAAAGGTGGGTCCCATCTTCATTTTCTTGTCTTCACACTTTTTTGTGGACCCCACTTATGTATTGAGTGTGTAGCATAAGAAAATTTTCTCACGTAAAATGAGAAAATTAATCCCCATAAACTAAATAAACAAAATTTATATGTTTATACAGTGTTGGGTTATTCAAGTGGGATGAGTCTCATATTGATTGATAATGGATTAAGTGAAGTGAATATAAGTGGATGGATCCATGAACCCAATGTCTTAAGGTTTTGGATTGAGATGTGGTGTCGAATCTACTTGTTACGGTTGATGTGGCTTAGCTCATTGGTGGTGTCCCCCACCACTGGCTTTCTCTTGAACTCGCTTTACAATGATGTCGTCGATTGAAAGGGAGTAAACCGATGATGAGTTTCACACTTGAGGAGGAGATTGTTGGATTATTCAAGTGTGATGAGTCTCACATTAGTTGGGAATGAGCTAAATGAAATTGACATAAGTGGACGGACACATGAACCCAATGCCCTAAGGTTTTGGGTTGAGATATGATATCGAATTCACTTGCTATAGTTGATGTATTTGATCCACTTAACTCATTGGTGGTGGTCACCTGCTACGGGCTCCTCTTGGACCCGCCTAACAGGGGTATTAGAGTTGGGTTGTGCTCGAGCTAGCCTGGTCTTTGGCTAGGAGGCGAGTTGAGTATTTTGGGCCTAGGTACTCAGTTGAGGGCAAACATATCAATGGTGAGTTTCACACTAGCTAGCATATTAATGTTGGGTTTCACACTTGAGGGAAGATTGTTGAGATAATCAAGTGTGATGAGTCCTACATTAGTTGGTAATGAGCTAAGTGAAGAGTATATAAGTGGAAGGACTAGTGAACCCAATGACTTAAGGTTTTAGGTTGAGATGGTGATGTCAGACTCACTTGCTACGATTGGTGTAGCTTAGCCCATTGGTGGTGATTTTCCGCCACGGTCTCCTTCTGGACCGCTGACATACACAAATTCAAAGAACATAAATAGTGTCTACCAAAAAAAAAAACATAAATAGTAGACATATACGAGTAAGTATGACATTGGAGATAGCAGTATGAGGCAGCACATGGGGTGCCTGGGAGTGACACTTTTTAAATCCCATAAAATAGAAAGATCACAATCACATTATAACATAGTACCATTTTGTGCGTTTAAATCATTTTTTTTTATAAACTTATTCTTCACAGGAAGTAATTATATTCAAGACGAATACATGATTATGACTTTAAACTCTCCCAAAGATAGTATTGAAGAGTATCGAACACATACTTTTACCCCTATTTACTCTGTTCCATTGCACCAACTGAACTATCATAATTTTGTTGAAATCATTTTTTGTACAACAAAAAAATTTAGGAATTGAAAAAAAAGGGTCGAGTCACGCCCAAAATAATGCGTCTATTTTTTAGTGTGACCGGTCTCACTCTATTTTAGAAGTGATTGGTTGTTACATATTTTAAAAAGATTCAGAAATGTAATGTTTTGTGATTTTTTATTAAAAAATAATATTTAAATTTTTTTGTCACCACACCGCTCGTTCTTTAATAGAAGTCAATTAACGGCAAAAAAATTAAAATATTATTATTTAAGTAAGAAATTACAAAAACATATCAATTTGGAACTATTTTACAGATCTATAACAACAAGTTATGCCTAAAATAGGTGTGACTAGTCATGCACAAATAAGGCATATTTGGATTCTTAGTCGCTCCCAATTTGGGCGCAACTCACTCGGTGATGACACGTGGCAATTGAAATCAACAATTTTACCATAAAACCTCGTAAGACCATAACTTTTGATTTGGTTGTTTGAATGAGGTGATTCTTTTTTTGATTCCACATAACTTTTCGAGATTTATGCAATGATATCTCATTGAAGGAGATTTGGTAACAAATATTCAATTTTTTTCGAATTTGCAACAATGATGCCACCACAAGAGCATTTTATCTCCCAAAAGTTTCCAAAAAAAAAAAAGACAACATACATTTATTTGTTGGAAATGTTTCTAATCATCATAGTGGTTTCCTCTCCAACAACATGCATAGGCAACAAATGAAAACAACAACAATTTTTTTCTTACGAAAATCCTTAAAGTACTGATCTTGTTGCTGAAAAAACAGTTAGTTCAGAGACTATCAATGGCAAAAAATGAGTGGCAAATTGTTGGCTCGGGTTAATGGAAGTTGGTGGAATCATTGTAACAGGTAATGGACACAGATGATGAAGTTCTTGTGAAAGAGATGAAGAGATAATAAAGTACTACTATTGAGGAGATATGGAAATGGTAAAACTAGGCCAAAAAATTGATGGCACATGTTATAGCTCATCCTGTTGGTTTAGGGACTTCTGGGTTTAAACGCTCTTGTGGTTATGACATCATTGTTGCAAATTCAAACCGTATTTGTGGGATACAGAACTCCAACTCAAACTTCAAAAGTTCAACTTAAATAACATCATTCACATTTGTAAAGATAAAATGTGCCAAATTGGGCACAAGGGAATTTTTTTGACTCAATCCCCTTTGGGAATTTGGTAGTACATAGATCTCAAAAAATATGTGGAATAAAAAAAATGCACAGATTGGGTGCGACCAAGCAACCTAATATGCCTTATTTGGGTGTGACTGGTTGCTATAAATTCATAAATTAATTCTAAAATATTATGTTTTTGTAGTTTTATTTAAATAATAATATTTTAATTTTTAGTAAAGTATCTTTGGAGTGCTCAAAAAAAATTACAAGGGTTCATTTTAATCTCTTAGAAAGAAAAATTGACTTATGGTTCCTTTGAAATTTAAAATAGACCCAGATAGTCAAAATCACGGTCTTTCTGAAATTTAAAATAGACTCATATTAATCCTTTTTTTGTTTTGAATTTCAAATAGACCACGAGTCGATTTTTTTTTAAAAAAAATTGTAATTAGTTGTCTTTTTTTTAAATTAAATTAAATTGATGATTATATAATTTAGAGTAAATACCAATTTTTGTCCCTGACAATTTTCACGAGGCACATTTTAGTCCGAACAATAAAAAAGGCTCATTTTAGTCCCTAATATTTGAAAAAAAAAGGGTCACGTTTGTCCTTTCGTTAGTTGGCATTTGACGGCCCAACTAACGGAGCACATGTGGATTGCTGAGTCACCGTTAAGTATGCCACTGTGGAAGTAATACGATGTCGTTTTATGTCTTCTCTGAGCTTTGGACAACTGACCTTAGGATCGAAGGCTATTTGGTCACTAACAAATTTATCGAAGCCCTATTTAGTCCTTAACACTAAAAAAATAGACATGAAAATAGAAGTTGCAAGGCATATTGCATCAAACCACAAACATTTCAAACCCAATGGCCCTATTGCAGCTCAGGGTTAATTAGTTTGTTCTTACAGTTATTCAAGCACCGAACCTCTCCACCTTGAGCTACACCAAACCCATCATAATCAAGTTTATGACTGAAAGGCAAACGAGGTTCAACATTCAGCTCCTATTACCGACTTCAAAATGTATATAGACGTTCACGTTTTAAATTGCTCACATAATCTTCTTAAGTTAGACGGTGGGGTCGAATAATGATATGGGCTCTACGCTACCACGGAACCAAAGATCCTCACCTGTCTGCTGATGTCATAATCACAAAGGGGTGTTGAAGAAGAAGCTAGCCATGTAATCGTGAGAACTTTAATTCCGTTTAGATTGATGAAGAAAGCGAAAATCATGACAAAATAGTGGGATCCAACCACCAAATAAACTGTCCAATACATGATATCATTGTAATTGTTCCTTGTGTGAAGGTGGCTAAAAGATGTTCAGCATTGTTAGGATACACACAGTTCCCAGTAACAACAACAATCAACACACACAACATTGGTTTCCTTCGTGCTCAATTGTTACAACAAAAATTGGGTTTTGCAAATCAGAAAGAAAGAATAATAAAAACAATAACTTGGGGTTGTGATAGGTATCAGAGATTAATAGAATGAAAACTGATGGAATTTGTAAATGTGTTATTAACTCAACCTCTAAATCAACAACTATATCATTAATATTCTCCAACTGTGAAGTTACAAGTAATTGAAAGCAAAATTACAAGTATGAGAAATACGTAATGACAATGTGAAACAATTCACAATAAGAAATAGCTGCTAAATGATGTACTACCCAGAACAGTTAGAGAGGTCTGGTTCTCTCCCAATTCACCCTAAAAGGATGCCCAACTTCCAAATTCCAAAAGATACTATTCACACGCTCCCTACCCCTATATGTAACAAACTCAGTAATTGTAATAACACCTTTTTGCTGGAAGCGTGACCTCCCTTCCTTACATTTGGTTACTGTCCACCTGATGCACCTGACGCACCCCACTATCCACGTCAGCAGCCTTCCCACTAAATGTGCTCAATGTTGCTGACTCATCATTCTCATCATTCAGGATCCCTTCATGTTGTTTCTGCCTTCTTTTGTACACCTTCCTAAATTTGCCCCTGCCCACAAACGTATCAATACTCCCCCCCCCCCCCAATTTAACCACCTTGTCCTCAAGGTGGAACAATGGAAATTGATTATTAATCATGAAAAATTCTTCCCATGTGTTTTCAAAAGAAGGTAAGTGTTTCCATTTAATCAACACTTCCAGATTTCCATGAGAGTTGTACCTCCACTGTAAAACGTCCTCTGGCTCATATTGTAATTCCCATTCAGCAGATATAATAGCTGGTAAAGGCTGGGTCACTGTTGCAGGTGAGATAGCTTTTTTCAATAAAGAAACATGGAACACTGGATGTACTTTGCAATCAAGAGGAAGATCTAGCTTGTAAGCCACTTCGCCAACTCGAGCAACAATTTTGTAAGGGCCATAAAACCGCGGACTCAACTTTTCATTAATCTTGTGTGCCAATGTCTTTAACCTATAAGGTTGGAGTTTTAAATATACCATGTCACCCACTTCAAAAACCAATTCCCTCCTCTGCTTATTGGCTTGAACCCGCATACGATTTTGGGCTATCACCAAGTGGTCATGCGACTCCTTTAGAACCACATCCCTTTCTTGCAACATTGTTGAAACATCTTCAACCACACAATTCTGGTTGCTGTCCCTGAACAGAGTAGGTGGCTCACAACCATATAAGGCCTTGAATGGTGTCATGCCGGTTGAATCCTTGTATGTAGTGTTGAACCAATATTCATCCCAAGGCAACCACTTGGGCCATTGTTTCGGTTTTGGGCTACAAAAACACCTTAGATATGACTCTAAGCAACGATTGACCACTTCCGTTTGCCCATTAGATTGGGGGTGATATGCAGTGGAGTATTGTAACTTGGAGCCAACCATTTTAAACAACTCAGACCAAAATGTGCTAAGAAAGATCCTGTCACGATCAGACACAATGGTTTTAGGGAACCCATGTAACCGTACTACTTCACGAATAAAGACTGATGCAATGTCTTTAGCTGAATAAGGGTGACAGACAGCCGTGAAGTGAGCATACTTGGTCATTCTGTCAACTACTACAAATATAGTGTCCACCCCAAACGCCTTGGGTAGGCCACCAATGAAATCCATTGACACATCAGCCCACACTTGTGTAGGTAAGGGCAAAGGCTGCAACAACCCCGCAGGTGATAGATTCTGAATTTTGTGTTGTTGGCATAAATGACAAGCAGCCACATGATCCTTAATCTCCTTCATCATTCCCTGCCAGTACACCACTCCAGCAATGCGTTTGTAAGTCCTGAAAGCTCCTGAGTGTCCTCCCACCTGTGAATCATGAAATTCCCGAAGTATCAAAGGAATTAAATGGGACTGTTTTGGAAGGACCAATCTGTTCTGATACAGTAGCCTCCCTCCACACAAAGCAAACCCATTATGTGAAACAGGATCGAGTAGGAGATCTTGCAGTATAGTGCGCATTACTGGGTCAGCCCTTATTTCATCATCCAGATCATTGAAATGTGCCAAACCAACCTGTGAGATAGCAGAAAATTGCATTTGCCTGGAAAGGGCATCCGCCACCTTGTTCTCCTTCCCCGGCTGGTATTGAATTTCAAAATCGTAACCCAGCAACTTGGAGGCCCACTTCTGCTGTTCTGCATTTAAATTCTTTTGATCATTGAGGAACTTTAAACTCTTCTGGTCAGTTTTCACCACAAAGTGACTACCCATTAAATAATGTCTCCATTTTTGGATGGAAAAAACAATTGCCATCAACTCTTTTTCATAGACAGATTTGCTCATAGCTCTCTGAGAAAAACCTTGGCTTAGGAATGCAACTGGTCTATTTTCTTGCATCAAGACAGCCCATATTCCCTTACCAAAGGCATCTGTTACAACCATAAATTGCTTGTGAAAATTAGGTAAAGCTAACACTGGAACTGAAATCATTGCCTTTTTTAATCTGTCAAAGGCTTCTTGTGCATCTGGGCCCCACTTGAAATTATCTTTTTTCAACAACTCAGTCAATGGTCTTGCAATCTTCCCATAATCCTTTACAAACTTCCCATAATCCTTTACAAACTTCCTGTAGTAACCAGTAAGACCTAAAAACCCCCCTCAACCCCTTGATATTGGAGGGTACTGGCCACTTTTCCATAGCTTCTACTTTCCGGGGGTCAGCCATAACTCCTTCTCTTGTAATTATATGGCCCAGGTACTCCACCTGCCGCTGTCCAAACACACATTTTTTTTTATTCGCCACCAGCTGGTGCTGTCTAAGTGCCTCCAGCACCTTCGCAAGATGTATTATATGCTCCTGTTCATCCTGACTATATATCAAGATATCATCAAAAAATACCAAAGAAAATTTCCTAAGGAATGGCCGTAGCACTTCATTCATGAGAGCCTGGAAGGTTGATGGAGCATTGGTGAGACCAAACGGCATCACCAAATACTCATAATGACCCTCATGGGTCCTAAAAGCTGTTTTAGGGATATCCTCCTCCCTCATCCTAATCTGGTTAAACCCAGATTTTAAGTCAAGCTTGGAAAAAATCTTAGCCCCTCCTAACTCATCCAGTAACTCTTCAATCACAGGCATAGGAAATTTATCGGGCACAATGTACTTGTTTAATGCCCTATAATCAACACACACAAGCCAACTACCATCTTTTTTTTTTTACTAATATTACAGGACTAGCATATGGGCTCACACTATGCCTTATCCACCCATTGTCCAGCAACTCAGAAACTAATTTTTCTATCTCCGATTTTTTATGAGGAGGATACCTGTATGGACGATTGTTAGGTACTTGGCTACCTGGTTTCAGTGTGATTGCATGGTCCTGCGTTCTCTCTGGAGGTAGTCCCTTGGGTTCACGAAAAAGATCCGCGAATTCTTCCAGCAACTCATTCAACTCTGGCCAAGTCACTGCTTCTTCATTGTTCTGATAGGGCCTCTGTTCCACGAGAAATCCATCGCCTCCATCATATAATGCCTTCACTATAGACTTCATAGATGCCACAGCCCTAGACAGAGAGGGATCCCCTCGGAGTAACACCTCCTTACCTCCTTGTTCAAATTTCAAGGTCATATCTTTGAAGTTAGCCTTGATTTCTCCCAGACCCGTTAGCCATTCCAACCCTAATACCACATCCGCTCCTCCCAATTCAAACAGATGTAGATCTTGTCGAATCTGATGTCCCTGTAACTCCAAGGGTAACTGTCTACACACACCTTGGCAAGACACCCTATGACCGTCGCCAACCTCAACCCAAAATCGGGGTGTATTATCAACCTTCAGCCCCAACCTATCCGCCACGCTTTTGCTGACGAAGTTGTGCGAAGCCCCACAATCAATCAAGGTCACCACTGATTCGCCCCCAACCGTTCCCCACAGCTTCAATGTTTGGTTTGAGGATAGCCCCAAAAGACTGTGCATGGATATTTGGAGAGCCTCCTCTCCTTCCTGCTGTTCTGCCGCGATTATGACCTCAGCTCCCCCTTCTAACTCGTTCCCTTCATCTCCTTCTTCGTCTACGATGAGCACCTGTAGCTGTCGCACCTTGCATCGATGGGTTGGATTCCATCGCTCCTCACACTTGAAACAGAGACCTAACCGCGATCTCTCTTGCATCACCGCCTGGGGTAATCGCCGGCCAAAACTCCGCCCGCCTAAGCTTGCTTGGCTTTCCATCTGGGTAGGGCTTCCGTGGTGAAAGCTTTGCGTATTGGAGTTTGCTTTCGTAGTGGCAGAGTGTGTAGAGGCTTCTATCACAGGTGTCCTTGGGCCGCTTAAGTTGGGCTGACCCGAATTGGAAAAACGGGTCGATCCATAACCCGATCCGCTCCTGGTGGTTTGGGCCCATCTACTAGCCCCAATTCCATTACTCAAGCCCACTCGTCCAATTCCCTTAGCAACCCACGCCTGGTTTCTCCGTTCTATCTTCGTGGCGAGCTTCATCATCTCAGAGAGTCTGTTCATGGGATGCATGAGCAACTCTTCTCGAAGACTATCAGCTAAGCCGTTGAGCCACGCCCCTCGAAGCACTTCTTCATCTTCGAACCTCAAGTGACTTACTATTTTCTCAAAAGCTACCATGTATTCAGCCACGCTCCCAACTTGTTTCAGCGTGAACAGAGCACGATAAGGATTATCCTCCATCTCCGGTTGAAATCGGCTTAAGACGTCTGTCCTGAAACTTGCCCAGTTTGCGTTGGGGGAATTAATTTCCCACCACTGGAACCAATTTAAAGCTTCTCCTTCCATCACCAATAATACCGCTGGTAACTTCTCCTCATCAGTTAATCCGTTTACTCGGAAGTATCGCTCCACCTTATTCAGCCATCCGAAGACATCTTCTCCGGAAAAAACAGGAATCTCCAACTTCCTTTCTTGTGCATTTAAGATATTCCCCCCAGTACCACCGTTGGTTCCCGTTGAACCCGTTCCTTCGGTGTTAAATTGTCCTGCCGTTCTGATGTTTATCAGTGCATCCAACCTTCTCAGTATCTCCGCCTGACTCGCCTCCGTGTTTCTCACCCTTTCGGATAGTTCATCAAATCTAGCCTCCATACTGCGTGTCACAACCATTCAAGTTCTCCCTGGGATCGAATTGGCTCTGATACCAATTGATAGGTATCAGAGATTAATAGAATGAAAACTGATGGAATTTGTAAATGTGTTATTAATTCAGCCTCTAAATCAACAACTATATCATTAATATTCTCCAACTGTGAAGTTACAAGTAATTGAAAGCAAAATTACAAGTATGAGAAATACGTAATGACAATGTGAAACAATTCACAATAAGAAATAGCTGCTAAATGATGTACTACCCAGAACAGTTAGAGAGGTCTGGTTCTCTCCCAATTCACCCTAAAAGGATGCCCAACTTCCAAATTCCAAAAGATACTATTCACACACTCCCTACCCCTATATGTAACAAACTCAGTAATTGTAATAACACCCTTTTGCTGGAAGCGTGACCTCCCTTCCTTACATTCGGTTACTGTCCACCTGATGCACCTGACGCACCCCACTATCCACGTCAGCAGCCTTCCCACTAAATGTGCTCAATGTTGCTGACTCATCATTCTCATCATTCAGGATCCCTTCATGTTGTTTCTGCCTTCTTTTGTACACCTTCCCAAATTTGCCCCTGCCCACGAACGTATCAGGTTGTTTCAAGAATGTAGCCTGATTCGGATGATAAAAAGGTCATCCAATCATTACTGACCAAGTTATCAAATTGTCCATTTTTTATATCAAGAATTTAGAAGCTAAAAGAAGTTTAGTTGCAAGATAAACACTGTTAAAGTTGCCATACTGCTCTCTGACTCTGGCCTGCTATACTCACTTGAGGATGATAAGTTGGCTAGATGTCTTAAGGGGCAGCAGCCAACTTTTGTTCCCTAACATACCAACTAGGTTTCTTTCTTGGTTATGACATCTTCTCTAGAATCATACACCAGTTGGATTTATCAAAAAACTGATCAACAACTTTAGCATTGTTTATTCCAGTTGCCAAACTGCAAAAAGATATGAAAATAAGTTAGAAATCAGAAGTAACCTATCCACATAAGCATGTGAAGTCATCTGAAACATAGTTCTGCACTATCCTCCTTTTAAAATGTGTTCATTTTGAAACATAGATTAGTAAGGAAGCCATAAAAAAGGTAATTATATATTTTCATTGCACCCTCACACGCTGTTGATTAATTTAAGAGGTAAAAGGTGGATTGCAGATGGGTTTGGTGTAGGGGACAGTGACCATTTTGCCACGTTTTGGCAAAAAAATTGTCAGAATGTCACGCGAACAGTAAAATTTTTCAAACTGCCACGCGGCATAATTCGCTACACAGTGTAGCGAATTATGCATGCAAATAATTCGCTACACAGTGTAGTGAAATATGCCACGTCAGAATGCACAGAACCAAAAAGTGTCATGTTCAAAATTGTTGAAATTCGCTACCCTATGTAGCGAATTTTAACATTATGACACATGACACTTTTTGGTTCTGTGCATTCTGACGTGGCATATTTCGCTACACTGTGTAGCGTATTACTTGCATACATAATTCGCTACACTGTGTAGCGAATTATGCCGCGTGGCAGTTTAGAAAATTTTACTGTTCGCGTGGTATTCTGGTAATTTTTTTGCCAAAACGTGGCATTTTGGTCACTGTCCCTTGGTGTAGCTCAAGGTGGAGAGGTTCGGTGCTTGAGTAACTGTAAGAGCAAACTAATTATCCCTGAGCTGCAATAGGCCATTGGATTGAGTTTGAAAGGTTTGTGGTTTGCTGTAATATGTCTTGCAACTTCTATGTTCATGTCTATTTTTTTAGTGTTAAAGATCAAATAACGTCTCGATAAATTTGTCAGGGACCAAATAAGGCCTTCGATCCTAAGGTCAGCTGTCCAAAACTCCAAGAAGACATAAAACGACGTCGTATTACTTCCACGCTGGCATACTTAATGGTGACTCAGCAAAGTAACGGTTCACGTGCGCTCCATTAATTGGGCCGTCAGATGCAACTAACAGAAGGATAAACACGGTCCTTTTTTCAAATATTAAGGACTAAAATGAGTCTTTTTTATTGTTCGGGACTAAAATGTGCCTCATGAAAATTACCAGAGACAAAAAAGAGTATTTACTCTTAAATTTATTTATTTTTTGCTGGTAGACTGGCTAGGTAATTATAGTAGTCAGTCTCACTTCCCACAGGAACACAAATATCTATTCATCTCCGCTACAGATTAGATTTGGATATTAAGTAATAGCAGATTAAAAATATTTTATAAAGGAAAAATAAATTTTGAAATTATAAGTATTATTAAAATTAATAAAAGATATTAATTATTATAAATATTTTTGGGAGAAACTAGTCATTGATACTAATAATTTATTATTATTACAAAAATATTATTTTATATATATAATAATAATAAAATTATAATTTAAGAAGCAACCGCCGTCAATGTTAACTCCTCACTGAATCCGCCCCTATATTTGGAAAGTAGCTTTCCCCATATTTATTTCTAGTTAATTTCATCTTTCCATTCCCTTTTAAAAAAATTCGCACTCAATCTATTTTATCATTTTTTTCTAATATAACTGTCAAACTCGACATGAAAATATAAATTTTCAAAAGATTTTATAATTTTCATCTTGAATGAGAATAAAAATTTTATATTATAAAGACAAAAATTATATGAAACTCATATTATAAAAAAAATTATTACGTAAAAACACGAAAATCAAAAAATATAGAAAAATTTTAATTCTCATGTTAAATATTTATTTTCTAATCCGAAATTAGTCCAATTTGCCGGCGCCGTCAATGATGCCTTATTATGGAGTTGCATTGGTTTTATAAAAATATTTAATGAGAATTTGGCTTGGAGTTACTTTTGTCATATTGCAGGAAGGAAGAAATTGGTTGGATACAAGTTTTACGGACCCACAATAAAAAGAAAAAAAAGAGAGAAGCTTGATAATGAAGTGTGTGCAGAAAATTGGTTTCTTATCGGGTATTATGATGGTTATATTACCCTTTTATTTATTCTAAGTATTTACGGAGGATTTAACTACTCTGACTTGTTATCTTAAATTACCAACTGCACTTGCACTTGAATGTCCCATTTGGTTGAAAAGTTGATGAATTGATCTTGTCAAAAGATCCGATCAGCCCATAAAATCAGGGGAGTCTATACCTATATTACCAATGATAAATCAGCTCAACGAATATCAAATTGACAAAAATAAATTATTATCGACTTGAACTTTTATTTTAGGGATTTTTTTTCTCGTGTATCATAAAAAAAAAAAAAATCAGCCGACATACATTTTATGTTGAATTTATTTTAAATTTTTTTCTCTCCCTTATTCTTTTTCCTTTCTCTTCCTTGTATGTTTGTGGAAATATATTATTTTTTCTTATTTAACATAAAAAAATCACTATTATTTTATGGTTTCAATCTTTTTTTATATAAAAGATATATATCTTATACTATAAACATATATTATATGTGGCTCATATCTAATAGATAAAAACAAAAGAAAATCTTGTACTAAAATTAATAGGTCACTAGTACGGAAAACAACTCTCATTCATAAAGATTAACTCAACCAATTATACGTTTTGAGTCAAACAAAAACTTTATGTTAAGTTAAAAAGATTTAAGTATAAATAAAACTTTGATAACTTATTCTCCGTTGACTTTTTATGCATGTTGTATAGTTGATTTTTTTTTGCAAATATAATCCTTTCCTAACTTTTATGTATATTCTACGCTTGGATATTTCACTCATTGTGAACGGATAGACTTTCAAGTATTAAGTTACATAATGATTATTCTTTATTTAATTTATTTCATATGCCATTTGTTTGATGGTTATTATTTAATCACATATTATTAATTTTTTAATCTTGCAACACATATAGTATTTCCCTTTATGTTAATTTAAAATTTACTTAATTTATTTTTTATGATTTTTTGTTAATTTATTAAATATTTTATGTAATATTTAAAAAATATACCAAATTATAACTAATTCAACTCCAATCAAATTAATAGTTCATAAACAAGTATCTTCGTTGATTTAATAACCCGTCCCATTTATTGATACCGACACTCGCTCCAATGAGTTGGTTGCCTTGTCGAAATTTTGATTTAATAACTATCCTACTCCTACCTAAGTTATTTGAAAAGTTCTTTGACTCAAAATTGGGAAATCAACTTATCCTGTTACGGAAAATTACTGTTTTTTCCTGCAAAAGCATTGAAAATGGGAATTGTGATTATTTATTTTTTTATTTACTTTTTTAATAGGTCCCACCATAATCTTTTATCTACAGAAAATTTAATTCTTGTCTTATAACATAACAAGTTGATTACCCTTCAAAATTATTCCACTAACCTCTTCTAGGTATTTTTTTTATTTAAGGAATATTAAAATATTTAAAAAAATTCTTTTTTATTCATTATAAATGAATGAAAAATAAAAAAGTGCATATTAACTACCTACCAGTCCTGTAATATTAAAAATAAGTTGCTTTAAAACTACCAAAAAAAAAATTAAGTTGCTTTAAAATATTTTTCTTTTATAAAATGAATATTAATGTTAATTTAGTCATACATAATATTTTATTTAAATATCAAAATAATTCAACCTCAATCCAGACATTAATCATGCTATATTATTTATAATTATTATTACTTATAACATCAATTAATATTCATGTGAAATGAAAAGATAAAAAATATATATATAAATTCAACCTCAATCCAGACATTAATATTGGAGTCAAGTTGTTGCGCAGAGAATTCAAGTCAAATTAAATTCGACTTAACCTGTTTGATGAATTTGCACAGCAACAATATTGTAGTTAAGAATAATTATTTGATTAAATAAATTTAATATTATTTTTAAAAATAATAAAAATTATATTATTTATAATTATTATTACCTATTATAACATCAATTAATACTTATGTGAAATAAAAAGATAATATATATATATATATATATATATCTTTGGTAAAATCATTTCCGCAGCCGCTTTACGTAC